TACCCGTTATCCAGCCCGTTCTGCCCAAGCTTCCTGCCGATGTCACCAACCATCACCCCAGGCATGGGAAGCAGGGTCTTCGGGTCCCGGATCTGGAGGAAGCCACAGAAAGCCACAATGCAGTTGCTGCGATCACAGAAACCACAATGAGCGTGTTTCAAAGCCCCCCAACTGAGCCACAGGCCTCCTGCAAGGAGCTGCAGTGGGTTGACTAGACCATATCCACTGCCATTGAACTAACAAAGCTGTCCTGGAGGAAGTGCAGCTGGAATGCTCCTTGGAAGCAAGAATGGCCCGACTCTGTCTCACCTACTCTGGTCATATTGTCAGAAGGGACTATTCCCTGGAGAAGGATGTCATGCTTGGTAAGGTGGAGGGTCGATGAAAGAGGGGAAGACCCTCAACAAGATGGAGTGACACAGTGGCTGTGATGGGCTCAAGTATAGCAAGGATCATGGAGCTGGTGTGGGATCAGGTGGTGTTTCGTATGAGCTGGAAACAACAGCACGTAACAACAACATCACTTTGGTCATATTATCAGGAGGGCCCATTCCCTGGAGAAGGATGGCATGCTTGGTAAGGTTGACAACTAAAAAGACACAGTCCCAATGTTACCAAACCACACAGCAGGCCATTAATTCAAGTCTACTTAAAGTCCCAAAGTCAGCAGAGCATGGCAGGCTGCTGAATGGCTACATGCAGGGTACAAGCATGCCATAAGCTAGAGACCATTCCCCAAACTGCTTCTTATATATGGGAAGCAAACCATATCCCTAAAGCGCTCCAATAGATTCCACCATGGAGTTAATTACCAGTCTTACCATGGGGAATAACTATATAGCTGCCCAGTCACTCAAGCAGGCCTAGCAAAGTTGGCACACAAACTTAACTCCCACATACCCCAGGGGCTCTTGGTGAGTGAAGGTGTGGCCATCCTCCATCTCCACCCACCTTCAGGACCAACAGGAATCCACTCGGGCTGTGTGCTCTGACAGAGCCTGGGTGCCCTGCCCTGCTCCTGCCCCCAGATTTGTGCTGTGTTTTATTGTTTTTAAATTATTTTTTCCTCCCTTTTTATTTTTCTTTAGTCTTTCTTTTTTGCTTTCCAAGTTCTGGTTTTGTTTTTTTTCTCCTCCCTTTTCCTAGCTCCATGTTTTTTTTTTTGTTTGTTTTGTTTTGTTTTGTTTTTGGTACTTCTCATCCCTTGTTTTTCTTCTTCCATTGTACATATCTATTTTCTTTATTATTCTTTTAGCTCTTTTCTCTTGTTCCTCACTCCCCAGATATCATGGGTTGTTTTTTTTCCTCCACTTTCTCTATATTTATTTGTCTTTTTAAAGTATTTCTTTAATTATTGAATCTCATTTATTGCCTTTTTTTTTTTCTTTTTGGCAGTTGTGCCTATGTGTTTCTGCGGTTGTTTTTTTTTTTTTGTCATCTTGTTTTTACTCTTTTGGTGTTTTATTTTAATTGTTGCTTTGGTGGCATAGTGCCTAAGGCATTTGACTGCTAATCAGAAGGCTGGCAGTTCAAACCCACCAGCCACTTCTCTGAAGGAAGATTGGGTAATCTACTTCCGTAGTGATACTGCCTCGGAAACCCGAGGAGGGATTGCTATGAGTTAG